GGGGGGGGGGAGGAGGGAGGCAGGAAGGGAGGGGCTGCGGCGGCGGCAGTGTCGACGGCAGGGCGGCGAAGGCATCAATGGCGGCGGTGAAGGCTGCGGCGGCACATTGCGCGGCGGAGGCGGCGGCACAACGGCGGCGGTGGCCCGGAAGTGGCAGCAACGAAGCGGCGGTGGGCGAATCGTCGTTCATAGCCTGGCCGCAGTAGTCAGGCACGCACGGCGACACGTCGTTCATTGCCTGGCCGCAGTACTCAGGCACGCACGGCGACACGTCGGTCATTGCCTGGCCGCAGTAGTCAGGCACGACGACACATCGTTCATTGCCTGGCCGCAGTAGTCAGGCACGGCGACACATCGGTCATTGCCTGGCCGCAGTACTCAGGCACGCACGGCGACACGTCGGTCATTGCCTAGCCGCAGTAGTCAGGCACGGCGACACGTCGGTCATTGCCTGGCCGCAGTAGTCAGGCACGGCGACACGTCGGTCATTGCCTGGCCGCAGTAGTCAGGCACGGCGACACGTCGGTCATTGCCTGGCCGCAGTAGTCAGGCACGCACGGCGACACGTCGGTCATTGCCTGGCCGCAGTAGTCAGGTTGCCTGGCCGCAGTAGTCAGGCACGGCGACACGTCGGTCATCGCCTGGCCGCAGTACTCAGGCACGCACGGCGACACGTCGGTCATTGCCTGGCCGCAGTAGTCAGGCACGCACGGCGACACGTCGGTCATTGCCTGGCCGCAGTAGTCAGGCAGGCACGGCGACACGTCGGTCATTGCCTGGCCGCAGTAGTCAGGCACGGCGACACGTCGGTCATCGCCTGGCCGCAGTAGTCAGGCACGGCGACACGTCGGTCATTGCCTGGCCGCAGTAGTCAGGCACGGCGACACGTCGGTCAGTAGTCAGGCACGGCGACACGTCGGTCATCGCCTGGCCGCAGTAGTCAGGCACGGCGACACGTCGGTCATTGCCTGGCCGCAGTAGTCAGGCACGGCGACACGTCGGTCATTGCCTGGCCGCAGTAGTCAGGCACGGCGACACGTCGGTCATCGCCTGGCCGCAGTAGTCACGCACGGCGACACGTCGGTCATTGCCTGGCCGCAGTAGTCAGGCACGGCGACACGTCGGTCATTGCCTAGCCGCAGTAGTCAGGCACGGCGACACATCGGTCATTGCCTGGCCGCAGTAGTCAGTCACGGCGACACGTCGGTCATTGCCTGGCCGCAGTAGTCAGGCACGGCGACACGTCGGTCATCGCCTGCCGCAGTAGTCAGGCACGCACGGCGACACGTCGGTCATTGCCTAGCCGCAGTAGTCAGGCACGGCGACACGTCGGTCATCGCCTGGCCGCAGTAGTCAGTCACGGCGACACGTCGGTCATTGCCTGGCCGCAGTAGTCAGGCACGGCGACACGTCGGTCATCGCCTGGCCGCAGTAGTCAGGCACGCACGGCGACACGTCGGTCATTGCCTGGCCGCAGTAGTCAGGCACGGCGACACGTCGGTCATCGCCTGGCCGCAGTAGTCAGGCACGGCGACACATCGGTCATTGCCTGGCCGCAGTAGTCAGGCACGG